CTATCTATATCTCTTTTGCTTCTTGACTGAGAACTGTCTTTGCTTTAACTTGAATGAGAAAACAATTTACTTTTAGCAGAGCAATGAGTCATGAGTCACTAAAAAAATTATTTGTGTGTATTTGAGTGTAAAGAAGAAAGAAAGTTTCTTATTGAGTTATTTCAAAAGTTTGTTTATATCTATTAAATTAATAAGCTTTAGTATACGTAAAATATAATAAGAAGTTAAATATCAGCAGAATAAAGTTTAAGCTTTTTTACTTACAATTAATTTCCTATAGGTAAGATTATATATATATTATATATTCATTTAGCACCTGTTTTGCTAGTTTTTTTTTGATCTCTTTATATTTTTTAAAATGTTTAAACGAGCAATAAAAAAGAATCAAATAAAGAAACATCAATAGTATTAGCAGCACCAGTAATAAAATTTACAAAAGTTCAACTAAAAGTGTAATATAATTGTATAAGATGCAATGATAAACTGATCGAAACAAGAACAAGACAAAATCATGAATTAGAAGAGAAACAGCTTTGAGTTTCTATCTCTAAAATGAAGAAAGGTAAAGAAAGAAAAGCTAATCTAATACTAGTATATACTTATAGTTTACAGATTCGTTCTTTGGCTGAAGTTCAATCTATCGCTGTTACTTCTTCTCAAAATCTTTATGAAGATAATGCAATGATTGATAGTGATCAAGAATAATCTGATGAAAATTTTTTATTACGAAACAAGTTCCTGCTAAAAAAAATGATAAAAGTATGATCAGTTTCACGATGTTAATAATACCATTATCATTTTGAATGAAGAAACTGAGCAACTAGTTAATGAATTTGGTGATGAAGAAGATTTTTGGTCAGTTGATAATGAACTAGTATTAGATGATAATGAACCACTTTCTAATGATAATAAGAATCAGATTGAGTTATTTGCGACTTCTAGTGCTAATATTAATTATGATTCTAATTAGAAGGATCTTATTATGAATATGGATGTAAACGATTCATAGATCCTTATCTGGATATTTAAATATCAAGAAAGGTTTAGACTTCCTAATGTTGCGATCAACTTGTTAATTGGTTTCTTTAGTCTCGTTTTAAAAGATGTTGATTCACATTAATTTGAAGAATTCCCTTCAACTGCCTGTATGGCTAGAAAAATTTTAACTATCAGGAAAAAATCAAAAACTTTTGCTACTTGTCCTGATTGTAACAAGTTATATGATATTATGGTAATAATTCCAGCAAATTCAGATGATAATGCGAATTTGGAATTTAAATGTATCCATATAGAATTCCCAAATCATCTGATGAAAAGTCAACATAAATCTTATGGATCAGAATTGCTGATGAGGGTTCCAATGAATAATAGATATATCCAGTGACCAAAGATGATATATCTATTACTATCTTTAAAGAATCAAATATCATTTATATATCAAAGACCAGGGTTTAAATCACTTTTGAATAAATGGGTCAACTTGGATACTGAATCTGATTTTATGACCAATATCTATGATGGCGAAATCTGAAAGACTTTTTTATCACATCTCGATTATTCAGATAATTTGGAAAAATTTTGATTTTTTACATCTGAAATTACCAATTCGCATTTAGGCATTATGATAAACTTGGATTGGTTTCAACTCTTCAATTTAGCTTCTTATAGCAGTAGCATGATATATGATATGATTTGTAATTTTCCACAGGATGTTCAATTTAAAAAGGAGAATATGTTGACTCTCAGCCTTTACTGGAACCAAAAGAAGTAAAATTATATAAGATTAACCATTTTCTCACCAATAATAGATGAATTACTAGAATTTTGAAATGGAGTTTACTTACTGGTTACTAATAATTATCCCATTAGTAGAAATATCAGAATAGCTGTAATTTGTTATAGCAATGATATTCTGACCTCAAGAAAATTATGTGGCTACGCATCAGCATTAGTCAGATATCATCAGTATCACAAAAGAGCAAGTATTGAAAATGGCCAGAAGCTAAATTTTGGAGGGTTCAATAATATGGCTGATTGGTTTAAAGCAAAAGACCCAATAGAGCATTGTCATAATACTCTCATTTGGAAGAAACAACAAACAGGAGATGATAGGAAACAACATGTCAGTAAGACACATGTAAGATGGTCTGAAATACTTCGCTTACCCTATCATAACCCAATTAGATATCTGGTCGTAGACCCAATGCACTATCTATTCTTAGGAATTGCTCATTGGATTGTAAAGTGGTTGTGGATCAAAGGCAGAAAAATTTCCAAATCTGATCTTGAGTTGATGAAGAAACGAGCGAAAAATGTCAAAATACCAGCTGATCTTGAAAGAATCTCATTCAAGATAGCAACTGATAAAGGATTTTCTGGTTTTACAGCTGATCAATGGAAATCTTTTATCATGGTGTATGCAACTCCATTGATATGGGATCTTTTGGATAAAAGAGATCAAAGAATTTTGTCTAATTTTGTAAGGACTTGCTTCTTATTAATAGCACGCATTATTAATAAAATATATTGGATGAAACTCAGTTTCGATTACTACAAGTTGCTAAACTAGTTAAAGAGAATTATGGTCTGAAGGTAATTACTCCTAACATTCACTTATCTCTTTATATCATTGAATATTGTCAAGACTATGGATTCATTTAAAAGGATGAATGGTGTCTTAAGTAAGTCATATGCCAATTGTTGTCGAACCTGGTTTAAGTATATTTAGAATAATTTTTGTTAAAAAAAATACTCTGCAAAGGATTCTTCCCAAATAGTTATTGCAAAATTGAGCCAGAACTACTGAGAATCATTATGCAGTATTGGCGACTTGATAGCCTTCTATCTGCTCAATCAGATAATATGAAGCTTATTGAAGGTTTGAAATTGATACAACTCCGGATACCTTTGGGAAGCTTAGTAATTTATGATAATTTTGTGTATGCTGAGCTTTGCCAATTCAAGCAGATCTTTCATCTCAAAATTAAAGATACAATTATTAGTTCCGAGCTTTTCTCTGGAGAGATGCTGGCTTCAAAAAAATTAACGTCAATTTACCATATAAAATATACAAGATTCTGGTAGATTATTATAATGTCGCATATTATTTGGATTTTTTAACTATTTCAGAATCAGTTCAAAGAAACACAGTATGTTCTGATCATAGAATCATTGTCCAGCCTCAAATTAATCAATTTAGACGTATTAGTATTGGGGCTGAAATATTTGGATCGTTAAATACGTCCTGATACCTAAAGAATTTATTCATCCTTGCCAAATTCATACAAGAAAATGATTTGGTTGATATATTTCCTGGTCAGGTTCAATACTTTTTTGAACATGAAATTAAACTACCAGAAGGGAAGCAAACACATCAATTGGCTTATGTAAGATGGTTTATGCCAGCTCTAGATCACCAAACGAGATTTTATTGCCAAATTGATGATATTAAAAGTTGCAATATGAAAATCTGGTTAAACAGATTTTATAAGATTGGCAGAGACTGTATTATACCAATACAAAATATATATTGTCGATTTATACCTTGCAAATTCGAAATTGGTAAAAGAAAACTAATTCCATATATGACTGTTGTTCCTATAGGGAGACACTTTTATATGTAATTGTCGTAATATTCAGGTCAGATATCAAGCTTCTTCAGAATTGTATTACCTAAAAAAATGGATTTGGGTACATTGCTTCATATCGACCAGCAGCAAAAGTTCACTGACAGCTTTTTCTTTCCATTTTTCAATTCAGTTTATATAATTAAGATCATCATAGTTGGCTAGCAAATTACTCCATTTCCTGTTAGATATGAAAGTTTATAATACCAATTTTAACAAATATTTAGAAATTTTTCATTGTGGAAGAAATTTAAATTATATTACAATATTGTTTTCATAACCATTAATATCATCAGATATCAATCGGAATAGTTAAAAATTTAGATAATATGATCCGTAATTTGCTACAATCAAAATTTCAGCCAACATGATCTGTGAACCGCAGTATGCAATAATCAAAAATTGATATTTTTGATCATCAATTCTACTTAATCTGGCATATAAATTTATTGCACAATAATATAATTTTGCCAGTCTGTTGTTAATAACAAAATTAGAAGGTCTTAAGTTTTTTCATAATGAAATTATAATCACCTAGTAGATCATGATTTTCAAAATTAAATTTAATTCAGAATTTTTGATAAACAGCAATCAGTAAATTTCTGATTTATATCTGAATTGTAATAAACACCTATTGCATTTTATTTTGTATGATGATAGTCTGATCGAAAAATATAATCCGATCGTTATGACTACTGGTTGGACAACATTTTACCTGTGAAAGTGAAGATGCAGTTTTAAAGATTATTAATATCAAAATTACCTTGTATGGATCGTCTATCCTGCCAATATATCAAGAAAGATGGAATGATTTATAGGAAAAGTGCTAGCATACTTTAGAATGTGCCAGATATTATAAAATTCGTCCTAAAAAATATGCCTTATCTGTAATGAGCTAACCTATTCTCGCACTGGAATCTGTAGCATATATAGTGGAATTTATGATCATGTCTGATGTGAAAATAAAAAAACTAAAATAGAATCAACCCTTTGGGATTATCTGATATAGTTAAGATACTTGGCTGAATAACAATCTGGACTGGAGAATTATATTTCCTTACCCTATAGAATTAAAAAGTTACTGGATCTCATTATCTGCATTTGACCTATATAGTAGAAGTTCTGATGCGCTTTTATCTCCAAAACCAAGACTATCATATAGCATGTAATTAATTTTGTATGAATATTTCCAAACCTGCTATTTCTTGAAACCTATTTTTTTCTGATTGCTTTTAATTGTATAGTCATACCAATTATCAGCAATTGCATTAATTGCTTTTATAGCTGATTTAAGATCTGGCCTTTTTTTGCACGAGACTTAAAGCTAATGAGTAATAAAGACTGACTTCAAATTTCTATAAACCTTTTACATAATTATATGAATGCTTCTGATATCATATTACTATAAAGAATATGCTTATCGTCTATACCAGTAAAGCCTAGTATTTGAAAGAGTTCTCTTATAACCTTCCAATGATTAGCTGAATATGATTTGTGCAAGTCTTCTGCTACTAATTTGTCAATATTCTTATTAGCTTTATAATGAATATTTTTTCATTGCACAATATCTTTGGCTTCTAATCCTTTTATTACACTCTCCTCATCATAGCCTTGTTTTCGAAAGTGAAATAACCTCAAGAAATGTTTCTGAGGTTCAGATGGGCTAAAATATTTTACAAATTTCTTATTGCAAAGATTATTTCAATTCTCACTGTCTATATCTTTACCACCATAAATATTTCGCATATAGAAATGTTTAAGTGCCATAGTATCTGAGATAAAGCACTCTTAGTCAAACTTAAGATTTTTAGCTTCTTCAAGATCAAGATTTCAGGAAGTAGCAACTGCATCAAAATCTGTTTTCTTGATAACTAATGCTTTAACCCTAACCTTATTGCGAATCCTTTTATGATTTCCTATAACTCCTTGGCTTTCATCTATTTTTATAAGTTGGAAAGAAGCACTTGTACTAGCTATAAGACTGCATGATATCTCAATAAAATTTTTTACAGAAAGACATTTCCGATGCTCAACTTCGAGATATAATATTATGGCAGGTGATTGATCAAGTTTATATAATACAATATTTTTATCACATTCACAATACTTCTTATTGCTATAGGCAAATCATTAGGCCTAGCACTTTCGAGTTTAATATGAATATTTTTATAACCTAGTAGGCAAAAAAGCTCATTAGAATTTTTTGATAATAAAGAGATAGTATGCATTTTTTACAATCACAAATCTGAAACATCATCTGAATAAAGGCTTCAATATTAACTGGAATTACAATATTTGTAATGCCTATAACTGCATCAAAATGATTAAAAGATATGCCTGTTTCTACTATACTTGTGTAAGTTACACAATCAAGTTCACCTTAAGTGGTATTTATATCTGAAAAATCTTTTTTTTATTATTTTCTGTCTATATCTCCATAATAAGCATGGGCTCTAACAGGAGAATTATCAGGTCTTTACAATTTAGAGACTTTTTCTGCCAATATTTAGATTATACTGCAATTTGTTAGAATGAATGCCACACGTTTGCCCTACTATAATAACTCATATCCTATTCATATAGCTTTAGTCTCACTATTTGGATCATAAAGATACTTAACAGTTTTACCTACAAGAATTAAAATTTATTATTGATCACTCGAATATTTTCATTATGATAAGCTTTAAGAAAGGTTAGAATCGATTTATTTCTGAAGGTATTCATTGTAAGTATATGCTGAGTTGTTTTTAATATGTTATACATCGCATTCTCAGATTCTCGTGCATTTGTACCACTACTCATTTAGTGATTAATTGTATTGAATTTATCTAAAATAACTATAATCAGATGTGCTGAGAACTCTATATAAGAAAGACTTTCAACTTGAACTATAATAATATTCTATTTATTTACAGATAAGTTTTATTTATCTTGATAATTACAGATTCTAAGTCCAGATAATTTAAGATTATTAATTTTACCTTATGATTCATTACTAAGAGTTTTTCGGAAAGAAATTCAAACAATGTAAAGCAAACTAGCTTTATTCCTGGCTAAGGAATTAAGAGATTTTCTTAACCCTTTTGTTTTTTCTGTCATCATAGGAGAGTGAATTAGAGTTATACTGGTCTCTTCACTCAAGAAGTCGGGATAAGCTTCTGGGAAATCTTTTATCTTCTTTATATTAATAGCTTCTCCAGATAGTTCAGGAAGTGGATATGGATTTGATATGACATTAGCTATTCTTTTAGCTATTCCTCGCTTAGGTATTGTGAGAATTTTAATTGCTTCTCCAAATACCAAACCTTTATGGTCTGTCTTAAATTGTTTTGCCAATAACATTTGAGTATAAAGCATCTATCTTTTCAAAAAAAGCTATACAACTGATTTCTTTCATATTTGATATTGCAAATAGGGTATTCTATAAATGATTTTGCATAAAAGGTAATAAATCCTTTTTCAGCTTTTCTGATTTTAAGCTATTCATATTTTGCCATTACCAAACCAGCTCTATTGCTTAAGGCAGTTTCATCTTCGATAGGTTAGAACTCTTCTTTTTCTGGCTTTTTAGAAGAAAATGTTTGAGACTAGATTTCAGAAGCATCCTTTGGTTGAACTAAATAATCCTTTAGTTTGCAATACCCTTTTTTAACAGAAGAAACTGCAGGTTTTTTAACACTATTATTCTTTGCTAATCTAAGAAGACAAAGGTTAAAACGGGATTTATAAAGTTCTATGTTAATAAATTTAGAGTATGGTTTTCCAACTCTATCTGTGACTTTTTCTATAAAACCCTAAAGATCTTTATAATCAATAAAACAGGCATCAGAATATACAATATACCAACTGCATTTATTAGAATTAGACGAACTGGCCAAAGTAAATACATATAATATTATGAGATGTTTTAAATCAGAGTATAAGATATCAGCATAAGCAATTAAGATTCTGGATAATAAATCATTATGAGAAATTTTATATCTATCTAAGGAAGAGAGTTCAGGATTCATGAGATCGGGCTTCTGCCTTACATTGATATTCAGAATAAGAAGAAGAGGCAGGTTCCCGTCAATGTACTCAATGTACTCATGAGCATTGGATAAGCTATAAACTTCAGATAGGTGATCAATTAGTGTAAAGCCTGATCCTGCTACCAAAATGATATATTTGGAAACAATTTCTTTAGCATGATAGGCTTCTAAAAAGGCCACATCCTCTCTGATATTAGATGCCAATAAATGTTGAAAATATGTATGATCATTATAGTCCAGCTCAAAATCAAGGTCTACTACATCTGAAAAGAGCCTTATTGCTTTATTTATTTTTTCAAGATTGGGTTCAAATTTTTTTTGCACAAGTAGCATTTAAGTATATGCAAGAAGGTAGTATAAAATTACATAGAAATTTGTAATCTTCAAAATAAAAAATATATGTGATCATCTTTTCTCATAAATTTGAAAAATATTTCATATTTTTGGTGGGACACAAAGATAGAATAATATATAGAAAAGAAAATAAGAAATTATGCATTTGCGTTCCACTGAAAATAGGCAGGAAAGAGGTCAGAAGGTGAAAAAACTCAAAAGAATACACGAAAAAAAGGTATGAAAGCTGTAAATTCTGAACTAATTCAGCACTTCATGCTCATTCTCAGCAATCAAACAGGTTATAAAAGGTGGGATTGCAAGAATGTCACACTTTGTATATACTTTATTGGCAATCAAAAAGTGGGTAGATAGATTGCAACACATCTTTAGCAAATAAATAGATTGCAAATTTGCCATTTTATGTCTTATCCGGCAATTAAAAAATAGCAAATAAAAGGGAAGCAACTACATCAGTAAATTTAATAGGGCGTAATATTGCGTAAACTTACGTTCTGTAATATTACGAAAACTTACGAGACCGC